CGGACAGACACATTTTGCATGAGTAACATGAACCTCCCAGTTTCGCAAATGCCAAATGTTAGTTGTAAATCCATCCATCAGATGAGATGTAGTTTCACTGGTAATTTAGCTCATATACTCTCGCTCTCATTTTCACGGTAAGCTTGAGTCGATAACTGAACCAAAATCATTCTTTACCTGCTGCTACACTTTGGAGTTACAAATGGCAAGAAGAATATAAGCAAATCAACTTCTACGCTTAAGCAATGTGGTGCTCAGGCTGAGTAGATACTTGTATCTAAAGCGGCCCGCTTTCCGCGAAGTAGTTTTTATTTCGGATAGGGATAGCGATTGCATAAGCTATAAACAGCCCTAAACTGAGCCTTTATTTTGAATTGTTTTATAATTTTACGACATGTTCGCCATCGGCAAGATATTCGAGAATACGGTGATTTATGTTTGGCAGCAGTGGACTTTGAAATGCAAAACACAAGTCACTCGCAACTAGGATGCAGATAATATTGTATGTGAATCATAATTCCTGAGTAACAGATGAATAATTCACACCTCTTTGAGATCACGTTCATAATTACAATGGATTTCGAATCTAAAGTGGCATGAACTCAAAGTAGCACAAAATGTAATCCTTAGATCGTTATCACACAATGACTTTCACAAGCCAAACGCTCATAACTTAGCGCTCACTAGTCCTTTCATTAGCCTGACAGAGAACACAATGCAATGCGGACGAGTGTACATAATGGACAATCAAGTGATAAAGCATAAACAGGTAAAGATGTCACCAAATCCCAATTGCGATCACTAAAATGTACTGTACTGTAAAATGATGCAAATGTAGGAGAACTAGCAAAACATATGAGAAAAAAAGAGCTAAACAAAGAGAAATGAAACCATCAGAATAATAACAACACAATTTGAACAAGAATGTTACTGATAATATTACTGGAAATTGCACGTATTGTGGGAACAACAAAAGTTGTGCAAAATGCAACAGATCGAATTGCTGACCAGTGGATCACCTATCCAACAGACTACTAATTTATGAGTTCATCTCGGTGTAAAGCGTTTCCTCATTCAAATGCTTACATTTTTCGAGGGCATATGCAAGTAAAAAGATGTGAAACGGATGTTCCGCAATTGTTACGTTTGTTTGATGAGACATCAATAAAGACATGGATGTGATGCAAACATTTATAGCTGCAAAGAACTACCAGATGGAACAAAAGTTATTTCATTCTGTTGCTTGTATAGTTAATGCACATTTTTTGATGCATTGGAACGAGCGAAACGTAAATAGTAGTCCAAAGCTTTTCGCTAACTCCTAGTGTATCGTCACTTCTTCCGAGGAACACACATAGAAACTCCCTTCCAAATAATTTTCAGAATTGCAATTATAACTGACAGGCATTTCAGTGTTTGATAAGCAATTATCGAAAAACTTTAACTGAAGCGTATAGTAAATGTCACATTTTGGATCTCAATGTATATATACTTTATGTGGCACGTAGCCGGTGGGTAATTTGGAATTCAATACAAAATAATAATATCATAATAAAAGTAATCAATTTGTAATTTCAAAAAGTCGCAATGCAGACTGTTTAAGAAGAGCTTACAAGCTATCTCGTTGCTCTCTCTATTATACATCAGATTCTATCATCGGGAATACCCGCGTTTGCACGGAGACAAAAATACAATTATTATAAAACACTTTTTGTTAATGTTGTATGGCTCATTATTGATCTAACGTTCAAATATCTTGATAGAATTTGTTTGTGATGTGCAATAACCGCAAAGTAGGGAGTAACAATGTGTCCAATTCATGGTTACGGAAGCCCTTACAGTGTTGCGATCTCCTTGCGTTATTGGAGTACAAGCTCACATGCAAGCTAAGGTAAATGGAGCGATTGGGTGAATCATTTTATTTTTAGAACTGACTCGTTCAATCCTTCAGAGTAGTTTGGCCCTAACCTGACAATAGCAAATTGAGTGAACGCTACCCCAGAGCATTCTTTTGCACTCGAAATTTATCCGTTTTCTTAGATACATAAGTGTACTCAATCGTTAGACCTTATTTTACTCGGTGAAAAACATTTTACTGGCCCATTTAAGGAGCTATTTAATAAGCCTTTTCAAAATATAGAGCCATAGCATGCAACAGAAATCGGATTCTTAACTTTCATTAGATTCCCTGAACTATTCAGAGCAGGATTTATACGCCCGTTAGGCATGAAGCCGTAATGTACGGAACGAATTTTTTGCGATTGAAAATACCTACATTTATCTTCTGAATTGGAAATTTCTGAGTCAGTATTTTCTCATTGGTTAAGATAGTATCTCTAGCACCATTACATGGCTATGCCCAGCTTTAACGCAGTCTATTTTACAAATTTGTCTTCAGTGATTTGGTCCATTATCCTCACATTTCTGATGATATTTCGGTGGCTAGCTAGCACGGAAAGGGGTATTGTTTCCGCCGAGACAAGTCCTTTAGTTCGTTTTACATCATGCTGTAATCCTTTTTACTATTCAGTGTGTTCTTTTAGTCGAATCGGCCTGATATGTGATCCAATCAGGGTTATAATTTTACTGAATTTTTCAAAAGTAATCAAGTCTAGGAAAATTCTGATGTAATTTAGCCTAGTTAATGCCTGAAACAGCCAAAAGAGGCAAGCGAACAGACGGTCCTCGTTAAGAGACAAATTTTCAACCTCATATACATTTAAAATAATCAAAATATACGGCAAACCAGAGTAACAGTTTTGACACTTGAAAATTCAAAAAATACTTAACGTATTGTATTGCCGGCTCCAGCAAGAAAATACGATGCATCATTTTTTACATGCATGAAATAGCTCCGATAACACTGAAGGTCACAAAAATCATCACAGTTTTGCCCGCTAACGCGCAACGGTTTAAGCTGTGCACAGTCAAACCCAACTTCTCAAGGCTGACAAATCACTTCAAAACAAACCAACCTATCATGGAAGTAAAGCATATCACATTGTAGAACTGGGAAAAAATGCAATATCAAGCCAACATTAAAAAACTATATGCGAAATTACTAAAGAAAACTGTCGGATGAGAAGGGCCAAATACGCTTATTGTGAAATTGTGTGTAATACTAAAGTGTACCAAAGTGTCTCTCCAATGAAACTGACAGTTTTCTTATCACCAATAGCTGCATGCAAACTAGTATAAAAACATAATTGACCACAATCACTCAAACTGTGTACAAAACTTGTAGCAGTTATTGAAAAAGCTTGAAGCTGATAACATACAACAGAAAATCCTGGTCCTTTTGACTTCTAAGCCCTGTTCACTTCATCCGATTAGAAGCCGACAAATTCCACCATACGAGATCGACTGATTGAACAAGCTGTACACAAAGCCAGGTGCCATACGTGAAAATGTAGAACTTTTCATGCAAAGGTATGTAGCATTTAAAGACCACGCACTGCAAATGAATCTGAAGCACGCCAGTGGAAAATGTATCTGTGGAATTCTAACCCAGGCTGTAGCTGAAAAACTGAATAAAAGGTTAATAACAAATCACAGTTCAAAACATGGTTTCTATGCTTTGAAGATATATTTCCATCATAACGTTTATAAACCAGAGATAAACACACTATCGAAAACATATACACCGATATCAACTTCACAATGGGAGAGAATGGAAGTCAATTTAAGTAAATGCCATGTGGACCCCAAATAGTGAATGTGTAGTTGAATGTGTCAGCAACAGTGGATATCTAAACCCTGATACAGTTTACCATAAAGCATCGCACATAAACCAAACAACGGATTTCAAAATGTATCCGAAATGACAATTTCTGCATTGTGTTGAGACCATTTGACTAAAAAGCAGGAAACATGACATCTTTTCACAACATTTGCATCGAGGAGCATAATTAAATACACTCTGCCCCTCCCGGGAGATGAAATCGTACAGTAAACGAAGAATCAGGGACAAGAGCGATTTCAGTTTATTTTAGCATGGTGTGGAAATCACCATGGGATCCCTTCGATAATACCGGGTTGAAGTCTGTCACAAACCAATTGCAATCAAAGCGAAATGATAAAACAGTAGTGAGAGCGAACAACTAAGTGATCTCTGGAATAAGTTAAAGACATTTCTCGAAACAATAGGTGGAAGAAACTGGAAGAAAGGTGTTAATAAAAATTCGTGAACATTGCCGCCGCCTCGTGAAACGTACCAAATTCACGTTGTTCATTCCATGGAGATAAACAAGGAAGACATCTGCATTGATGGAAGTCGTCATCTAAGCTCGCTAAAGAATATCTTGCAGCCTGATGTACTTCGAATCAACTTCTGAGAAAAAGCTACCGTTAAAAACAGTGGTGCATGCCAACAGCACTGAAAAATAAAATGATGCAACAAAAAGAGGGGTTGGATTGAGATTCAACGACGGATTAAATAGACCTTTTATATTTATTGATAAATTAGTATTAAAATAATAGAACAATGAACCACATCTGGAAAACGGGACGAAAATGAGGAGACAAATAAAAGTAAAGTACGGTCAAAACAAAAGCATTCAAGACATCATTTTACTGGTGATTAAAGTTTGCACAACTTTTGCAACTCAAACCGCACTAATGGATCTTTTTTCAGAAAACAGTAGATTTTTTTCCACTACGATTCCTAAGTCTGCAATCCATCACATGTCATCGTGGTTATATGACCTTCAAAACTGATTATTACGGATTTCAACTTTCAATTCTATTCTTTGTTCTGTAGATAGTAATCGGAAAACAATAATGGCATGCTACAGTACGGTTTTTTCCAGTCTCAAGTGCTTCAGCTACAAATCTCCTCCGTTAGTGCAATGAGATAGCTTGCAAAAAAGTATCAAAAAGGATATTTTTCTGATTGACATCAGTTGGCCTGTTTTCTAGCCGTCTGTGCTCAAATCTTAAAATCAGTTGATGAAACCCTGCGTTCATTTGAGGTTTGCATTTGCCTTACCCTGACACAAAAGGTTTGGAGGATTTGAAGAACTGAAACGACATAATCTTTCTCCGGACGGAACTTTGTCACCGGCAAAACGCTTTCTTTGTGGCATGGGTATGTTCTCACGGTAACAAAGTATTTAAATTTATCAGACTTTAAAGACATTATTTTTATGACGAAATGAGGAAGGTTTACTGTCAGTAGTCTTCAAGCTGTAGCTAATGTGCTATATAAGCCCATTATCCTGATAAAACACCCAAACTCTACTGTTATATCCAGATTCTCTGTATAATTTATCTTCGATTCTTATTGCTTTCATATGACATCTTGTGTCAAATCGATTCTGTTGATAGCCGGAATACAACAGTGCACTCATACAACATTAAGTTTACTCTTTGTCAGCAGGCTTGTGTGGCGCGTAGCCACAACCTTTTAGAGCATCAAGTAAATTTAGAGACAAAATATCTGATATCCCGAGCAGCTGCTTCTAGTTAACGCCATTAACGTTCTGAATGGTATACAAATACGGTTAGCTTTGTTGCGGTTCAGAGTGACTGTCAATTTGGCTTCGTAGTCGGATTAGGAGTTTGTGCCATCCGGTAAATCGGTTGCATTGATTTAATCCGGAAGTCTGCAATTGAGACTCATCGGATTAATTTTCACGTACACATTGCATGATTAGTTGGTTGGGCTGATATCCAATCAGGGTGATAACTGTAACATTGGTTGAAGCACGAATCAACAAAGCATAACAAACACACACAAACACACACGGGAAGAAAGCCATGACGTTTTGCGTAAATGTACATTCAAAAGAAATATGAGGCGTGTTTTGACTGCGCTAAGTGTGATAAAAAAATGATCTATCGTTCGAATCTAGCTGAAGAACACCGTGTTTGAGTTCCAAAGCATAACTAATTACCATCTGAAATTCGGAACCTTCTTTGATGTCACTCAAAAAGTTAGGTTGGAACGATCATAGACGACGAAAGGTGACGAAGCAATCGATTCCGTGGATGGTGATCAAAGTCAATGAAATAAGTGGTTATTCCGAACAATGAACCTAAAAGTCACGAAAGGTCACAGTTTTACTACACAATCTTCATACTTCTTTCCTCTCGCTATTTTCCCGTTTGTCGTAAAGATGTTTACCTTCGATGTTATTTACATTCTGTTTTCTTAAAATCAGGAATGGAATGATCAAGACCGATAATCTCAGCGTATTTAAACTACTTCTGATTCAGTAGGCAATGAAAGATTACGTAAGCGAAAATAGAAAAGGGTGCAGCACAGCACCTTAGACTACTCCAGAAATTGTAAGAAAATACAGAGTAGCGAATAAGCCCGTTTGCGGTCATTCTTCCACAGCCTGTAGATGAACCACCGCAAACGAGTTTGGTCGCTACTCTGTGTTTTCCAACAATGTGTAATGATGGTATATTTGGACAAAATCGTTTTTTTCCATTGACGTCAATTGGGACCTCTGAGTATTGAAACAATGGCATCCAAATGACAACTGTCAGAAGGGAATCAATCATTTAAAATGGTATTCATTTGTGAAAGTCATCTTAGGTGAGTATTACCATATGGGAAAATATCAAGTTCCATCAGGGGCTATCAGGAGCAGTAAAAGACTTTTTCGGGTAAGATGGAGTTATATCAATGTCGACCTTAGAGAAATGGTCAAATTTAACACTTTAGCCTGTTTGGAGAAACTGTTATCGAAAGGATAGACAGAAGTTCTCTACATTAATTTAACTGTGCAGGGTTTTCAGTCCTACAGTCATAACAAAGCTTTTTGCCGCATCAGATCATTTGGGCACTCTAGATACAGCGCGAATTGTTCGGAAAACCATGGGTAGGGACTCTTCATTCCCTAGTTGATCACCTTTTGTCTTTCCTTAAAATGTATGGTACTAGAGAAGGAATACTAGCATGGGAATCAAACAGCGTTTCAGTGTTTTTCATATGCAAAGAATAAGCTCCCCTTCTCAACAAAAGGTCCAAAAATCATGTTATGAGGCAAGGCGTTCTCTAAACCTCTTTTCTTGAAAACTAAGTATCCGTATGAATGCGGATGATAGCTTTTCTTCGATCATTTGAAAAGGTGTGTAATAAAGCACGTAATTCTGACTTAAAGACTGATTGTTACTCGTGTACGTTTCAACGTGGACCAATTTTGAATGAGTTATGTAGAGAAGGTAAAATAAACAAACCACAGAACTGCAGCGATCGAAAACAATGGGATTTTGAAGAGGTTGTTATTAATTTTCAAAAGTCGTTTCTTACCCTTGTTGCTAACAATTGAAGCACAATTTTTCTCATTTATCTGTTTGACTAACCTAGTTTAACCACGATTGTTCCCTGTATTCAGGTAACTATAACAACCTCGGAGGCAACTACTGATCAAAACATTGGAATGAACAGACAAACAGATAATATGTTGCATCAAATGAATGAATCAAATAATAAAATTTTGAAACACAAGTAACAGATCAAAATCAATCCTGTTCGTAGTTCGATTTCAAATTCAGTAATATACCCAATACATACTATCACACTGAAGTGATCAACAGTAGACGTGATTGGTGAAAAAATTGATCGTAGAATTGAAACATTTATATTGTCACGCGCATTGATAACGTGTTGGACACATTTCGGGAAGCAGTTTGATTCTTTTCCTCATTGGAAACACATCCTCCTCTGCATACACTGAATCGATTAAGATCTGATCGTCCGCAATGAGGAAGAATAAAAAGAACATTCTGCTAAAATTTTCAGACTACCCTTTATTCGTGTAACACTCAGTGCAAGATTTTGCTCATTGTGTTAGTCGTCATTATGGCAACGTGGCCAAGTGACGCAAATAAGTGACTATGTAATAAACTCACTCTCCTCAGAAATCTACTTTTCATTCGTCAATTAACTTGATCTTGATATGTTTTCTCTCGCTTTGATTCAAACAAGACCAAAAAAGTAGTGAGTTATGTTTGGAAAAACTAAAACTAATAAAAAATAACGGTTCCATTACGCGTAAACTACTTAGCCTGAAAAAGTTAGGGTTATGCACATACAATAAATGCCTAGTACGTGAAAGTGATGTTAACCGTGATAATATAAAGCTAAACGCGGTCAAATAACCATCTAATTACTCCAAATGGCACGCATTTGGCAAAGCAACATTTCATTACCTTGAATATAATTACAAACTGAAGTGAACTGCACTTATTATCAAGGATCGAATTTCTAATGACAACTTTTTTCAAACAAACAGTGTTCAGTACTTCAGAATTCTGTATCAAAAGAAACTAATGGAAAACCTTCAGAATGGTCTTTTACGTTTTATGATTAGCCCCCTGAACTTAAGTAACCATAGTTGAAATCGGGTTTAAATGCTGTGTGAATCACGTATACCTCAGAAATCACCCTACAAGAAAAAGATGAAGAAAAAGCTTACTACGTTGTGTCTTTAAATCGGGATTTCTGACGAGTGCAATATCGATATAGCAAACTGTTTGGCTGGCCCCGGTTGTGCTGTATCAGCTGCACATCAGAATAATAATTTGCCATCACTGTAAATGGTGTGTGAATAAAAGAAATGAAATCAATGAATTATGAATGTGATTCCACCAACTCAGTAAATTTTAATAGTCCCGTTTTGATCGGGTTTAAGTTCTTACATGTTGTTCCCGCCAAAATACTAGAATTTGTCTCCCAATTCAGACTGGTTCCGCAAGTTGAGCAAGTACATTTGATTCGTTATCTTTGACCTAATCCAACATTTGGTACTCGGAAAACTGGCTTAGTTCATAAACATTTAAGCAATTAAACTTAAAGTTTATTACGGATAAATTTACAAAGTTAATATATTAATTCTTACGGGTTCCTTACCGAACTAGTGTGGATTGACGTGCAGGTGAGTTAAACAGTTGGAACTATTATTCATGATTGTTATAAAAGGCTCATCGGTGCTTCACCAAGCTCTTATTGTAAAGAGTCTGTCACTAAAGGAAAAAGGTTTCGGAGAGTCCATCAATTTAGATTAATTCATCCATCAACTACTGCACTCTGAGGGTTCAGTGGTACATAAGTGATGAGGTAGCAATTAGTTACAGATACCTCCGCGTTCTTCTACCACGCTTTAGTCATGGATCGTAAACACCGCTGTCATAATCAGTGTGTGATCAACAGACTGTTGATAAATCCAGTAGGAACAACCTTGTCTTAAATAGCTCAGAAGCACGCTTATCTCACCCCATATTCTTCGAGGTCACTTATGATGTTCTGGCACAATTTGTGCAATACTCCAATTTCTACTCAATGGAAGCTGCCTTGTCCCGTTTTGTTCGCAAGATGCATATAAGCTCGCCCTCAAGTACATATGGAGTGTAACTAGTGAGAAGATTAGGCGCGAATCTACTTTTTCAACCTGCTATCCAATTTGATAAGCGAAAATTCATCTATGGGTCACATTCATTGCTTTTGGGAGTACAAAAGAGTTCACAAGACATATTACTGACTTAGCACATATACTTTAACAATCTGTATAATATAGTTAACAAAAGCAAAATTTAGACGAAGGAAAAGTACAGATCACCGGGGAAGGTGCTTGAGCTACGTTTATCTTATAAGGAATTATCAACTCGATCTGATACCATAACTGGTTGAAGAAACTCAAAATACAACGAAATATCAACTCTCGAGCACCGCTGTTCTCTAGCCTTCATAATATTATTAGGTAATTCAACCACTCCAGTGTTGTGAACTTGTTCAAATAGATCGCCTACAACGCGGAGGCTGAATCCATTGACTTATTCCAGTTATTTGATGCAAGTATCAGGTTTGGACTTTACCGGAAGAAATCCATTATAAGTCAATTACAGAACATTATACATCCTCAAGTTCTCGATCAGAAAATAGGCCACAGCTACTCCGAAAGATTTTCACATACAAAAGTTAAACAACGGCTCTGGGTACCATATTCGTAGGCCATAATTTGGTAACCCAAAGAGAGATGGATCCAAATAAAGAATCGGCCTTTATTAGAGCCGAGAATGTCCAAGTGAGCCGAAAGTCGACTGAGAAGGATGGAACAACTGGGGAGATTTAGTTTGTCTGCGTAAGTACATCGATGAGGCAGAGTCAACATGTCATTAAATAATCTGACTCTGTATATGTAAAACAGTGGTTTGAATTACGCCTGTTACGTGAAATGAAGTTTTAGACGTTTCTGAGACTCTCCTCATAAACGAAAGTCTTTCGTAATGCCCAGTGGTGTCAACGTTCAAGAAAGATTAGTCATATGAATGTAGTCAAGTCAGTCGAAGTTTTCTTATAAGAATAACATTCAATGACACTAAGCCTAAACTCAGCAAAAAACGTCTGCATCAAACTGGTTTTGCAACGTAGCTATGTTTCTGGGTGAACCGCAATACCCTTATTCGGTATAACAGTATAGAAGTTAAATTAAAAATCATAGGCACGAAACTTTAATCTATCCTCTATTAAATGAAAATATGATTGGAAATGTAAAATAATATTATAATAAGCCCGTCTGATATTTAGTGATGAATATCTGTTACAGGAATATCTAAGAGGTGCCTCAAAGTCTCTGTCACGGAATGACCGCGTAACGTCATACTAACTAGGTTTAATCAAACGAAAGACAATGGTGGTAAAAAATTATCTTGATTAGATACTAGTTTAAATTTGTGATAGCATTTCTTTTTTATGAAAATCCAAGAAGTTGAAATTTCATTTAGGCATTCGACCCGACTATTTTCAAGATGCCCTAAAGGATTATTGGTGCTCACCCAGAAAAGAAAGTACCACCAATCTTCCCCGAACGGGGGTTGTACTAAACTTTTGCCATAGTGCGTTAAACAGTTTATAACATTTCCAAAATCAGCTCCAAGTGATATCTGAAAAAATAACAACGACTGGTTAAGTCTTGCCAACCATCTTCCCACGTAATCCTTGCAGGTGATGAATTAGCTTCTAGGTTAAACTCTTCAAACTTTTTTACATGCATCAGTTAAGTTAAGTGTATCCCTGACATCATTGACAATCAAAATGAGATTGCTATAACAATTGGTGACTGTTCATACTACTGTTTATTGTGTTTAACTTTTGACTGCACTAAAATCCATTATTGCGACAAACAAGGAAAATGTCTATGGTTTTACGCAGCTTTCCCCAAGCAGGTGACTTCTTATTCAAGATAACTAGTCCATACGTCTTTACACGTTTGATGGTTGGTAAATAGCTGCTTCAAAATGGTCTGAAAAAATCGAGCCCGCATAAGCAGTCGGTATGCACAAGAGTAAATTCACAAGCTGGCATCAAGTTGTCTGTACAAGAATAATTCATCCCGATATTGTTGGCTTTAGTCTTTTTCGTCGCACGGGCGACAGAACACAGCACAATGTGCGACAGACTCAAACGATCGGGTAAAATACAAATATCATCATCATCCTCCCTCCTTGATTTTCTCACTGGTAAATGCAACTGATTCCACTCTTCCGCTAGTTGATGTCGGACCAGGCTGGTGATCTTTGAGTTCAGTCGTAAAGCATGAATTGTTGGTAACTGTAAGAGAGTGCCGGCATGTTCTACTAATCCGAGAGTTAGTCACCATGCAGAGAATTCCGAACAACTCTTCTTGTTGCATGAAAGAAATCATTGATAAAAAACTAACTTTATTCAGTGAACGTTTTGCGATCGAACGGGATGTGATTATCAATCAATATTTCGCCACCGAGGCAAAGGGTAATATTTAAGTTGGGAATCCCTCTCTGTTCCTGTAAGATAGTTGTATTTTAATTGTAATTACAATTAGTTTTTCAGAATTTATTTGAAAAAAACAACAGTAATTCATCGGTAAATTCAAATGTCTGGCAGTGATGTATCACAGTCTCTATCAGTATCCAATTTCATTCTAACACTTCCCTCATCACTAGCAGAGTTAAAATGAAATTGCGAAACAATTCACAAGGCAACCAGAACTGGTTGCTGAAATTCAACACTAGCTTGAATTCCTTAATTTGTTTAGAGTAGCCCATCACTGCCTACAAGTTACCCTCCTCTCTGCAAGGTTCTGATCCGGTGCAGGAAACCATCGAGAATAGAAACTTTATCAAACTGAAAAAATAGACAAACCTCTTAACTGATTGTGTGATCTCTTCTCGTTTTGAAACCAGGTGCCGGAATAGGTGAAGCAATCTTCGCTGTGACACCGATGGAGACTGTCAAAGTAAAATTTATCAACGATCAGACGTCAAGAAATCCTCACTATCGAGGTTTCGTCCACGGAGTTCGTTCAATCGTTCAGGAATATGGTGAGTGTCATTCAAATTTTATCACTAATGTTTGTTAGCAGCAATTCATCTGATTATCGTGATCTTCTGCACTCCAGTAAAATTCATTTTCAGCGACCAAGTTCAACAGATTGTCGATGATACTTTTGGCGATATGATTTGATTTGAGTGAAAGAATTATTGTTGTTTTGGAAAGTGTTTCACTTATTACCAGAATAACCTTCTCAGTTGGTGCTGTAATTATGAAAGCTTATGTTTTCTTGGCATTTCTTCTATTGGATAAGATAAACAGCATCATGTAATAATTCATGTTTTGCTTGATTGAAACTAAGGGATAAAATCCACATTGATCGAATTTCCGTAAAACGTGTAGTGCTTACAGAGAATTATATCATGAAAAAAGACAATAATCTAACAAACTTCTATTCCTTTCTCATGTTTTCATCACCTCGCGCAGTTTGTTCTCAATTTGATTTAGTTTTCAAATTTATTAGGCATAGCACGAGTACGAAACCAACCCCACCACCCGCTCGATTCTTTATAAACCAAATTCCGGTGAATAGACAGTAAATATTTTACGTTTAAACAGTTTTTAGTTCCAATTACTGTGCAATCTTAGAGATTTTGGGTTTGATCGATGTAGCCAGATGTTTTGAGCAGTCAGTCCTCAACGTGTCTTTTGGAGAAAAACATTTGAGTTTCTTGAATAAACTAACGTCTATCTTGTTTGAGTAAACAAGTCCGGACGGCTCAATTTTCCGCACTGTTTCTCGGTATATTTACCACTGATTTCGTGCAAATCAGTGACTCACTTCCATTCGAGGTCACGAATCAGTTAGTCGCTTGTTTTGCTCTACCGTTCTCGCTTCGTTTCCGAACTGTTCCAATTTTCCGTTTATCCAACTACTCAATTGATTCGCCTGGTCGGTTTGCCCTCCTCAACTAACCTGTCCCACCCAAGTTCGTGCCACAATTCATCGCAAATATCATCACCCGCTCTCTATCTCCGCGGTTCGCAATTATCGTCAAAAGGAGAAAAGAATTGATCTGTTTCTCTGAGGATGAACGTTAAAGAAACACGTAGTGCGTGAGCAAAAACTAACCATTCCTTATTTATACTCAACAAAAAGCAAAAGTAAGAATCAAAAAGCATTTCAAAACAAGAGGATAATGGTCATGATTCGCCCTAAAATTGAACCCTTGATTCCTTAGCTCAGTTCAGATGAGTTGAACAGACACGTTTGCACGACTTGTTTTATCTTAACTACGTTTTACATTTTATTTATACGTGCAGTTTTGTTATCAAATTTGATGACGCAAACCAGCACCAATGTGTTATCACATCGCGGACAAGCCGAAGAAACACAGCTAAATGATCCTCAAGTAGAGTGATACATTCTGTGGGATACTAAATGAGAAATTAAATATTAGGTTTACCAGCACGACAACAAACAGTCATTTTTGTACAAAATAGACGGACAAATATTTTGCATTGGGAATCACATAGTTTATTGATATTAGGTTGTTGTCCAAACTGATAGCGGATTCCTAGTAACGAAATATGAAGGGGCATTCAATGTGAAATTGCCTCAGAAACGTTTGGTTAGAGTGGTGACTAAAACTTTTTTAATCTGTCCCATAGAGAACTCGATTTGTACGACTCATGTCTCTTACCGTAACTTGTTTCGGTTGACGAGCGTTTCCGCTCTCAACGCTGGAACGGGATCCATGAAACGTAGTTTTGGACCTTATCCCACTACGTATTCACTGTTTTGTGATTATCAAGGCAAAAGCAACGATATGCATTTAATTACTGTTCAGTTTTATTTGAGTTTTACTGCGACCAATTTTGTTTCATACCGCAGTAGCCTTTATCTATTCCATCCTTTCTTGAAGATCAAGTTATGCATAGACAATACGATTAAAAGAACCACCACGTATAATACAACAATCTCCCGCGACCAAAATAAAATAATTTGTTTTGCGGTTAAACCATGAATTCTTGAATATGCATATGCAGAAAACAGTGATTTCCTTTCTCCGTTGATTGTTTCATATTTAAAATCATGCAAAAAAAAACAAGCAGAATATATGAATTGTTTTAGGTTTAGTTTAATCACCATAAATGCACTAGTGTCTCAGTCCCACCATTAATTGCTCACAGCATAAATAGTTTTCGCTGCCGGATGGGTCGACTTCATGTAAAATATCCACGCAGGAGTAAGATACAAGGCAGTGTTTCCAGCACGGTTCTATTTTTTTTATAACTTGTCCCATTAATCTGGAGGGACAAGCGAGTTCACGGAAACTCGGCCGCGTTTTTTGTGATTGAACCTCGTACGGTTTGTACTCTAAAGTTCATCCTGCAAGGCAACAGAAATATTCCTTACGAGCGTTTCGTTTGCCTCGTCCACTTCGGATAAATAGTGCACCATAAAATGGAGTGACCTCAGCGACGAATGAATCGCGGTCTGCTCCGCAAAATTCAGTCAGTTCGTATAAGTAGTATCTTAATTCAAGGGAGGTGAAAAATGTTCAGCTTTTCATGCGATATTTATGGAAATAAAATTTAAAAACAGTAAACAATTAATCAATCAATTATTTTAACTAAGGAAGTCACTTTTGTAGGAACTTTTCCATATCGTACAAACGAAAGGTGCGAAGTATAAAAGAAGAGAACTACGATACACGTAGATACGACCAAAAAGGTTCGAATTTTGACCGTGTGTAAGATGTATATACAGATTTTAGAAGCTCGATTTGTGATTGTAGTGGTACTTTTATATTAACTTTTACCATGTATTTAGGTGTCTATCGACGGCAGCGTTCCCAAACGTGTCTCTAGTTACGCCAGTACAGTTATAAATGTTTTTTATGGATCTTTCCAAAAATTTAAATAATGTTCAACCAATAGAGGAAATAATCAGAAAGCAATACAACCAGTATATGAATATGCATAAATTGGCATATATTTTCAACTTGTGGGCAACAAAAACGATTATTAATCTCAGCGAGAAAAATGAAAGCTTTGTATCGTTGCAGGATGTCTCTCGAACGTGCAGGGATGATTGAATGCGTTGGGTAAGTAAGTCTGTTACCAAACGTTCAACCTCGGTCGATGTTTGTATGATTTCATGATTAGCAAAAAGAGGGAGTGGCCTGTCTTCAAGGGATCTGTATTTATTCATCAGTTAACAGGAAAAACAACATCCAGACCTTTTACGGCAGCCAGAAAAAAGGGACGAGATAGTGACCAGTTTTCTAATAACATCTAACTTGTTTTCAGGTTATCAGGTTTTTTCAGAGGTGAGCACTTCATTTACCGATAACAAATCGGTGACTGATTTTTAAGCAATACATAACAAAGGAAAAGCAAACAGTTTAGCTCCAAGGGGGAGAAATACCGGGATAAAGGCTGTCACCTGCAGAACACGTGACGAGATATAGTGAGTATATAAATGTAGATATAAATATAAATGTTTTTACTTCCTTTTTTGTTTATGAAGTATACAAATGTACAATGAACATTCAGGAAGGAGGCCACGGGCACGTAAGATACAGAAAATGGGAAGACGGCCGGTGTACTGTTTGAAAGTAGGAACCTCCACGGTGTTATTTCGACCATCTCACAACTTGACGGTTTGTGTAGTGAATTTATTGCTGTGAACGCATGTAAGGATCAATTGATCTACAAGAAATCACGGGTAAACGTGCAAGTTTCTATCTGCAATATAATTGTCGAATTGATTGAACAATACTAATCAATCAAGATTACTGAATGCGTTTTGTAATCGAAGAACATCATCACATGTAGAGCTGAACTTAATGTGAACAGAATAAGCAACAGCAATAAATGTGGAGCGCGAAGGGCAATGAGCGGTGTCAGGTTATCCCCCGCAAATTTTGTAACAGTGAACCCTTGCAAGTCTCTATAATCATTTGACCATGATTGCTTTGCATGCGATGGGACGTTGTTCTAAGATTCTCTTATCGACACAAGCGTTATCTCGACCGATTTCCAAATATCATAAACGTTTCCACTGCAACTGATAGATTAACAGCTAAATCCTTGAGTACCATGGGGGTAAAACACTCGGACCGCAAGTTCTATCCTAATTCTCCTTACCTGTTGAAGGACCGTGGCCGGTTTGATAGTTTCGTGGCGGCTTGCAGCTACTTAAGGCAAGCACAAATGTGCATTGAAAAATTTGGATGAACTCCAAACGGTGTTTTGGAACAGCGAAGGTTTCTTTTCGTTTTATTTGGTAATTATTGCTGTCACATGCGTTTGTGACCTTCCTCTGAGCTACGGAAACTGAAGTTGCCTAGGATGGTATCTATGTAGGCACTAATTCTGGCTTGTGATTTCAGAATTGATCAACCAGGTTTACCAGGATGTTCCTTCGGAGTTTTCAGATCTTTCCTTTTCCTTCTCTGCAACAGAACAGTGATGGTAATGAATAGATACCGGTGTAGATGAAGATAGTTTGAACGGGGCAAGAATGATTAAACTAAAAATTAAGATATTCATTGGCATAATCTGGGAAAGCAGAAGAGGTCCCGCCTGAAACTGTGGGAGATGTTTCACATCACTCAAAAGTTTTAACTTCTCTAGTTTGTCTGATGAACAGTTATTCCGACTGATTGTTCTTGATAGTCCCGGCTTGTCTTACATTATACATTTGGACAACCTTCCTTGATATACTAATTACAGGCAGTTAGAAGCAAGCGTTCCTAAACCACCGGAAATTGTGGTCCGTTGACAAAAGCAAACTCCTTATATGCATCAAATCTTGGGGGAAAATTTACGAAAATTTCAAAACCACTTATGGTCAAACCGTGTTTATTAAAATCACTTACAAATAATCACACTAAATCACGCAGGTGGACAAGTTCGCAAAATTTGTTTAGTTCACTTACCGACACCATTAGGCACCGGAACAATGTGTTCAAGGTGTATGGAATGAAAGACACCCAAACATTTGTTTAGAGTTCTTGACTTTCTCCACCACTTTTTGCCG